GTTACAACATCTCGGTAGAGAACATCGCCTTAAGGGTTAAGGTTTCTTATATCTTAATGGTTGAGCTCCCAAGCCCAGGTTTGAAGGAAGATTGAAGTTTTGAGGAGGATTTCTGAGAAGAGAGGGTGAGAGATCAAAAAGAGCAGAGGGAAAGTCGAGATTTTGGATTGTAATCCAAGTTTTCTAAGTTGAAGGCCCTTAAATACCCCTTAACTCATGATATTCTCGCTATAGCGAGCTAACTCTCGTTATGGTGAAAGATTCTTGCTACAACGAGCCCTTCACTCGCTGCAGCAAAAAATTAGATAAAATATTTCTTTATTGTCTGTCATTCTAGCTACAACAAGAGCTCTTTGCTACAACGAGAGATTCTGGCTATAGCGAGAGAGCATTAGAAAGCCTATTTTTGGACGTTCTTTCTCGCTACAATGAGATACCTTGCATCAAAATTCCTATTTTCTTCCATACAAAGGCCATAAAATTAAAGGTGTTATAACATCACAACATTAAAAATGAAAAGATCTTTTCCATATAATACTATCTTGTAGCCTTTTCAACGTACATAAAAGGTAAAAGCACAAGTCTTGATGCGTTTTTTTATTTTCAGTTTGATCATTTCATCCAAAATAAAAATAAGAGAATTCCAGTATATCTTTTTGTATATTTGCATGATATCCATATTTCACTTTAGAATTCGCTAACCAACTAAGAGAGTAAATCTGTATTGACAAAATTAGTATTTTTCACACCTTAATGCAACAAAAAAGACACTAGAGAGCGATTCCACATCATTTTAAAGAGCGGTTCAAACTACCCTAATAAGTACCATTATCCAAAGTGAATGTTACTAAGAGAGCGGTTCATATAATTGTTCTCCAAAGTATGAGTATGAACGTATATGAAGCGCGAATCTAAAATTTGAAAAAAAAAATTTGTGAAAATTAATTTATTGTTAAATTTAAATTTGAATTTATATGTCATTTGAAATTTCTTCATTTTTATCACAAATTATAACTAATTCCTTGTCTCGTGCGTTGAAACTTGAGTTTATATGTTATGTTAACCAAATAATTCACATGTGCATGAACCAAACACTAGTAAGTAGAGAAAATAAGAACAAATTAGTAAAATGCTTCACTGTTATTGGAGAAAAAAAGAAAAAAAATAGAGAAAACTGTGAGAAATTAAGTACCTACAAATGTGAAAGAGACCAACGTTATTAGCATAAAGAAGACGAAAAAGAAAGACAGAATCTACAAATGTGAAAAAGACTAACTTTGTTAGCACAGAGAAGACGAAGAGATTCGTAAGATGTGAGCTATGTAACATCCCTACCAAATTCAACTAATTCCCATAGTAATATACATAATACTTTGAATAAAACTTATTGAAAATTTATAAGATCCAAATATTTTTGGAAAGTTGCATAAGCATGAAAATATAAACTAATAAAGTTCACAAATTTTAAAACCATATTCATATAAATTTTATTCATAGTACTAATAAACTGTTCCTAGGAACTTGAAATTTCTAAATAAAACTGGATACATATTAAATTTTAAAACAAATAACTATTCTGTATTTTAAGTACAATTTCAATCATATGTACAAACGGATTTATTAAAATATTGTAAACTCTAAATGGAAACTCAGTAACATAATTACATTTCTCAATTTACATTAATCTTAACAGAGCAGTCTTCTTCCTTCACAATCCCGTACAAGTATGATACTAGAATAGATCTACCTTCATCTACTTCTTCTTTACCTAAAAATGTTTTAAGAGTGAGTATCACTCGCCCCACTAAACTTCTCATTTGATAAAATAATAAAATATAATGCAGAAACATTTATAATACAACATATAACAAATAGACATATTTCATTCTTAACAGTTTTAACTAAAAAAAATTATTCATATACATCATTCATTATTTAATCAAAATAAAAGTCACCCATGCATATTATTTCACACTTAATTAGTCATCATCATCTAATTCATAACTTCATGCCACTTTATCCATCTCAAGTCTGAACATCTCATTAATTAATGGTACTCTCGGGCTCCTAAATCACTCTCAACGCACTCTCCTCAGTTACAAAGGGCTTATGCAGCATGGATAGTCGACGGTCAGCTAAATCACACACGTTTACAACGCGTGCGTTCACAACATTCCAAGCAAAGATATAGTTAGGAGTTCGGTTAAGAAATGAGTATGAGGCCTGTCAATGCATATCACTTTTACATCGTGTACACATCAATGAACCGCATTTACCACTCTTATTTCTCTTATATTTCCATAGTCAACTCCAGACCCTATACCCTCAGTGTATCCTTAAACTATCCATACAGTATCTCAACAGTGACACATCAAGTTATACTACTCTAATACATATGTTGCAAACACACTAATCGATGTACTATAACATGTGTGTTATAATCTCACCTGTTGGTGTATTACAACGCATATATCATAATCGCACCAATTGGTGTACTTGTGACACATGTATTGATATCTCTTTTTCTTTTCTCCACACATATTCATCACTTTTTCATATCATACAATTCCCCTTTCTTTTGATAATATATAAAATCTCCAATTCACATACTTGATCTCATTCATCATTTTTAATTTCACAATTTCTTTTCTTCACATAATCAATTTTATACTTTTTCAAAGATTCTCAATTACGTATATAATCACAAGAGAGACACATATCATCACAATTCTAATACATTCATCATGTTCTGTCATTTCAGCACATATTCACAAAACAGTAGCATATTATCACACAATTCCATACAATATGTTGAGTGTCGAACACCCTTGAACTTAGCCCAAATTGTGCAATTTAGAATATACTGCCAAATATCACATTCTCTTGGTCTTAATAGAATTTTATAGCCTAAATTTCAACATATTCCACCTTTTCACCATTCAACACTTATTAAAAATATAGTAACTCATTCTTACTCGTGACTATTTAAGATAAACTTTGTTTCAAGTGATTTTAAACGGATCAAAACCTCTTTTATACCAAAAATTCATTTCAACTTATATAGTTTCAAGAAAAATTTATGGACTTACTTTTGAAAACAAGATAACCCCTTTCTCTCAAGATTAATAAACACATTTGGGTAGAACCTAGGGTTTAGGAGTAACTCCCCTTATGTAACACCTCAAACCTCGCCCCATACAGGTAATGTCTCCATACCTTAAGTGCAAACACCACTGCGGCTAACTCTAGATCATGTGTCAGATAGTTAACTTCATACGGGCTCAACTGTCTTGAGACATAAGCAATCACTCGCCCGTCTTACATCAAAACACAAGCAAGTCCTTGCCCGGATGCATCATAATACACATTAAACTTCCGCTCTGGGTTAAGCAGTGCTAACACTGGCGACGAAGTCAGCCTTATCTTCAGCTTCAAGAAACTAGCTTCACACCCGTTGGTCCACTTGAACTCCTTTCCCTTGCGGGTCAACTTCGTTAAGGGTAATGCTATCTTAGAGAATTCCTCAATGAATTTCCTATAATAGCCCGCTAATCCTAGAAAACTGTGAATCTCGGTTATATTTGTCAGTCTCGACCACTCAGCCACTACTTTCACTTTTGCAAGGTCTACCATGATTCCTTCCTTCGACACCACATGCCTCAGAAACTGGATTTTCGACAACCAGAATTCACATTTGGAGAATTTTGCATACAGCTGTCTCTCCCTCAGAATTTGCAGGACAATTCTCAAGTGCTCGACATGCTTTTCCTAAGTCTTTGAATAAATTATGATGTCGTCGATGAACACCACCACAAACTTATCCAAAAACTCGTGGAAGATCCTGTTGATGTAGTCCATGAACACCGCAGATGCATTGGTCAACCCAAACGGCATCACCAAATACTCATAGTGGCCATACCGCGTCCTGAACGCCGTCTTAGGTATATATGCATCCTTTTCTTGGATTTGATGGTATCCCGATCTTAAATCAGTCTTCGAAAACACTGCTACCTTAGTTGGTCCATCAAATCATCGATCCTCAGAAGTGGGTACTTGTTCTTGACTGTTACCTTATTCAGCTGCTGGTAATCCACATACATTCTCATGCTTCCATCTTTCTTCTTAACCAAGAGCACTGGTGCTCCCCACGGTGACATACTCGGTCTCACAAACTGTTTCTGCAATAGGTCTTCTACTTGGTTCTTGACCTCTGCCAATTCCACTGGTGACATCCTATAAGGTGCTACAGAAATCGGGCTTGCCCCCGGAATGAGGTCAATAGCAAACTCTATTTCCCTCTCAAGCGGTAGCTCAGAAACATCTTCGGGGAAAATCTCCAAGAAGTCTTTCACCACCGGAATATACTCCAGCTCCTCCACACTTTTGGCTTCCATTGAGAACATAACTATGAAAGCCTTGGCGTTTACCGTGTTCTCCCATGCTCCCTGGCTCATAAGCCTTGAAACCTCGGCCATTGTCGCACCGAAGATCAAAGTCTTCTCCTTACAGTCCAGTAGCACATGGTTGGCAGCAAGCCAATCCATTCCCAGAATTACATCCAGTTAAGAAAGGGGTAAACAAATTAAGTCCACCTCAAACTCCCTACTGTGTACCATCATTGCGCACCCCAAACACACCCATGACGTCACAATCGGCTTACCTGTAGGGGTAGTCACCACAACATTACAAGGCAGTTCAATCACATACAAATTCAGGCTCTTCATACAGTCCACAGATATAAAAGAGTGCGTAGCACCCGAATCACACAACACATCAAGCAATCGACCCTTAATAATGCATTTACCTCGGATTAGCTCCTCTGACTGTGAAGCCTTTACCCCACTCATAGCAAAGACTCTCCCGGGGATGCTCGGCTTCTACCCCGTACTTCCTCTTGATTCCGGCCTCTGAGCTGCACTTGCACTACCGCTTTTCTTGGCGGCCTAGCACTCGTTGGCAACGTGCCCCGACTTCCCACAGTTACTGCAAGTTATCCTCGACTATGGGCAGTCCTTCACCATGTGTGGCCCTCCACACCTGAAGCATTTAAGCGGTCCCCTAAAAGAACTCGTTCCAAAGCCACTCCCACTACTCCTCTCTTGAGAAGAAATCCCTCGAGACTGAGAGTTGTTTGAACCAGAGTACAGTCCCCTTGAGAACCTAAGGGGTCTTCTATCTTGCCTCACCGGACTAGTTCCCCTAGTGTCCACTGTCTTCCCCCTTGAGTTGGCTTCAAAGATTCTGCTTTTGCCCACCAGGGTGGGCAAGTCCGTCAGTTGAAACACACTGACTGCAGCTCGAATGTCTGGCCTCAATCCATGCTCAAACTGAGCACATAGATCTTCCTCTCCATCACCATGCTGATAATGAGGCCAGTACTTCATCAGTTCTTGGAACTTAGCCGTGTATTCTCCCATAGTCATGTTTTCTTGCTTCAGCTTAAGGAACTCCCTAGTTTTCTGCTTCCTCATATCTCGGGGAAAGTAGTTCCCTAGGAAAATGGTCTTGAATGTTTCCCATTGGATATAGCCATTTTCTTGTGGCGAGGTCTGACCGACAAACCTCCACCAGTCCTCAACCTCCCCACACAGCAAATAGGTGGCATAGGCAACCTTGTTCTCCTCACGACATCCCATTGCATTGAAGATCTTCTCCACATCAGTCACCCACCGTTAGGCTCCTTCGAGATTGAATCCACCCTTAAACCTAGGAGGATCATGCCTAGTGAAGGCAGATAACCCTCTATACTCAGCCAGCTTTTCGCCTTCATTGTGCACCATGGCTTCTAGAATCTGAGCCATACGTTCCATGAGGTCATTGGTGCCTCTAGCTCCTCTACCTCTACCTCTACCACTACCAGACATATTTAATCTAGCTACAACAAGTTAGCAATCACATTCCAGCATATTAGATCAATTTATACATTATAATTTAGGCAAACAAAACAATCAACACTTATCTTAGATGTTTCAACCTGATACCCAGTCCGGTTTGGATGAACTGCTCTGATACCAAAATTGTAACACCTTATTTTCAATATTCATTAAATAATAATTTTGCAATTTCAGGATAGTAAAAGTTCCATTTCAAATAAAGTTCTCAACCCATGGTTTCATCAAATAATTTAAAATAAGAAAAAAGGGTTACAATCTTCATCAAGCACTACTATAGGACCCTTTTTAAATACATTATTTTCAAATTTATATCCTAGTCCTATAGCAGTTCCATCCACCCCTTTCACTGAGTCCGATGCTGATCGTCTTGGTTACCTAAAAAATGAACGTAATGGTGAGTACTCTACACTACCAAAACACACAACTGGCTATAGAGTCTCACCTCTAAATCAAATTCAATACATTTATGCAGAAACAAACACAAACAACATTATCATTCAATATCAATGCACTCACGGCACCAACAACATTTCAAATTCAAAAATACAATTAAGAATAATCTCATGTGCATGCACGCTAACCACATCCATGGTGGCACTGTGATCACAGATTTTCACTATGAATGGTCACCGCTTACCCCCACCTCACGGATACCACATGGGCAGTCATGAGTCGCTCAGCAAAGATAGTGGTCAGAGGTCTAGTCAGGAATAGAGTGTGTAGCCCGTGGTGCACCCGCTCCACAGTTAATGTTACCACCACTCCCTCTTCTCCAAGGTATTTCTAAATTGTCCTCATCTTCCACACCCTCAGTGTATCGCTGAACCATTCATAGCACATTACAACGGCGCTAACATGCCCATACACACATACTCCATTCATGCATGCAGTAATCATGCTTACATACGGCACACAGCCTACAATTATCGTTCATATCACACGGCCCTTGGGCCCACATTCTCAAAATATTCATTCAAATATATGGCACAAGTGCCCATACCCATTCACAACACTCAGTATACATGCCCTCATTCTATCACACAACATTTACATACAATTCACATCCATCAACTTCGGGTCAACACATATAATGTTCACATATCACGGCACATGGCCTATATTACATTTCTTAGCAATTTCCTACCCACTAACTTAGCCACAACACAATATTCAGCAAAATAACACGAATTCGTGCACAAAAGAGTAGGATAGAGTCTCCCCTTACCTCGGATCGAAGACCCACACGCTTAATCCACCAAGAAGTGCTCCCCTTCACGGATTTCATCCTAAACACATGGAGAAACCCCATGAGAACCTAAGGAAACCCAAAAAATGAGAAAAAGGGATGAGAAACGGAACCCTAACCATTAAAACTCACCTCCAAGCATTCCCCACACAGATTCAACCTTCAATCAAGCTCCCGAATGACTTTGGAGACAATTAATCAGTGGAATAGGGCTTTGGGTCAAGAGGATTGAAGAGATTTGGGAGAAAATTTGAGAAATGAATCTCAAATCCCTAAACCCGCTTTTAAAACCCCTCAGATCGTGACACTCTCGCTACAGCGAGAAATTCTCGCTGCAGCGACGCCCTCTGTCAGCACAGCGAAAATTTCAGACAAAATTGCATCCTGGTTTCTGCAAAATCTCGCTACAGTGAGACCCTCTCACTACAGCGAGACTGCACCCAGAAATGCACCCCAAACTGTCACTCTCTCGCTACAGCGAAAAGGTGACAGTTTCAGTCCTTCCTCCCAGGGCCCTCTCGTTACAACGAAAATCCTCTCGCTGTAGCGAGAACAGCCCAGTATTACGCCCTGCACTTAGGCACTTAGTCCATTTCAGCCCTATCCAATCATGCATACACATATATATCAGCCCTATCCAATCATGCATACACATATATATTCACAGCATATATCTAAAAATACATACCTCGATATACTTAATACACATAACCATCATTATCAAGTGAATCAACGCACGTATATATATACATATATATGCATTTAGATTTATATAAATAACAATAATTAATATTACAAAAATTTGGGACATTACACCTTACCTTACAATGGATCTTAAGAACTAAGTTCTTCGTGTGCTCTAGAGAGAAACCTTATGTCTCGACCAAAATTACTATCCAAGGACTAAATTTCTTCTTAGATTTGAGTGAAATAAACGTTTAAGCTCAGATCCGAGGAAGATCCAGAGTTATTAGAGGTTTTTTTTAGGAAGGGAAAGGGAGAGAATGAAGAGGATGGAGAGGGAAAGATGATTTGGTTGAAAATCAAGTTTTTAGGACGAAAGTTCTTTAAATATCTCTCAAACTCATGACTTTCTCGCTACAGCAAAAACATCTGACATTATTCTTCCTTTGCTGGCTGTCATTCTAGCTATAGCAATAGATCCTTTCTACAGTGAGAAATTCTAGATACAGAGAGAATGTTGTTGGGTTATCCCTATCTACTTCTCGCTACAAAGAGAGGGCTCTAGCGAGACTGATTCTAGATGATTTGTCTTGCTACAACGAGATATCCTACAACTCACATCAATTAAACAACCCTCTTAATTTCAAACAATATGCACAAATAACCAATATAAATTGTAATAATAATAAATAACAAAATAACGGTGTTACAAGCTAAGTCTGTTTCATTTATAAAATAGAAAATTGCTAGGCATTTTAAAATTTTAATTTGTGAAAAAAAATATTTTAGAGAGTGTTCATGCATATGTAGACTGTTTGGTTTACACAACATACAAACTCAAGTTTTAACATGAAAGACAAATAATCAATTTTGATTTGTGATAAAAAATAAAAAAATTTGAACATTAGATATACAAATTTAAATTAAATGTAACAATAAATTAATTTTAGTTTGTAATAGAAAACTCTCAAAGACAAAAATTTTAAATTTTAAATTTTCAATTCATACTCATACTTTGGAAAACAGTTATATATCAACTACACTCTTATTTTGAATAGTGATTTATTAAAGCGATTTGAATCACTCCATGAAATTATGCAAAATTCTGTCGTGTATCCTGTATAGTATTGATAAATGCTTTCTATACTTGATCCTACATTGTAATTCATGAATGATAATTGAGAGTTTTAAGCTATTCATTGATAAAATTTACTATTATTAATTTTATTTTATTTATATTTCAGGAAAATGAATCAAGAAGTGAAAGCTTCAAAAGATATTGGGAATTAAAACACATAATGAAGTCAGAGATATACATGGGCAAGTACATGCCCGTGTATATGAGCGTGTATCTCACTGGTCGCGTCAATTGAAGTGTATCATCAAAACCAGAGATGTACATGGCCAAAGTACATGGCCGTGTACATGGCCGTGTACTTTTCAAGAAAGTTGTGAAGTGCAATTATTAGAGACCAGAGATGTACACGGCTAAAGTACATGGTCGTGTATATGAGCGTGTACTTTTATGGAAAGCTTTGAAGGGCGATCAAAGTACATGGCCATGTACTTTTAACGTGCGTCAGAATTTAAATTTCTGCGAGAAGATGAGCCCTTGGGCCACTCATATAAAAGGAAACTTGGCACAGAAACCTAAGAGAGATGGTTTTGAAAGGAAGAAAGACTCAGAGACGGCTGGAGGATGGGATTAAGCATTTTATTTCATCTCTTTTGTAATTTTAGTTTGAAGATGTTTAGGTTCTAATTTTCCTTTGAGTATCTAAACGTAATGAATCCTAATTGACCAAATTTTCTGGAATTCTTCTAATGCTATTTCATGTTCTTTTCTCTTAGGTTTAATTGAGTAGTATCAATTTTTTTCTACCTTGTTTTCTTGTTTGAATTTGAGTAAAATTCATCCATGAAATTAACATTGCTCAATTAAAAAGACTTGAATGTATTTCTAGAGATAGAAAGACGTGAGTTTTCTATATTAGGATTAACCCTAATTATGAAATTCATAATGAACTTAATGCAACCTAGGGGTATTAATTAAGGAAGAGATTCCGATTGATCAACTGACGGTTAGGAATCATTATCCTTGAGAAAGGTATTGATTTAAAGATCAATGGAGCTACTGATGATGCAATCCGCTTGAGGCTATTCCCATTTTCTCCCACGAGGATTTATTACTTCATGGGAGGCTATGGCAGAAAAATTCTTGGCGAAATATTTTCCTCCCGCTAAAAGTGCCAAGATGAGGAATGATATCTCTTCCTTCTATCAGTTGGAGATAGAGACGTTATACGATACGTGGGAGAGGTTTAAGGAATTGCTGTGGAAGTTCCTACATCATGGGATTCCTACCTGGCTTCAAGTGCAAACCTTCTACAATGGGTTAAACCCTGCCACAAGACAAATGATAGATGCTGCAGCTGGGGGAACTTTGAATAGCAAGACACCAAGGGCTGCACAATAACTGTTCGAAGAAATGGAAATGAACAACTATCAATGGAGCTCAACTCGATCCAAACCTGCGAATTCTGTGGGGATCTATAGTCTTGATGTAGTAACATCCTTGGCAATGCAAGTGGAAGCCTTAGGGAAGACGATTGATGGTCTATCTGTTAACCATCAAGTTGCTCCGGTAATGAGATGTGATATTTGCGGAGGAGGCCACCCTAATCATGAGTGTCGAGCTACTCAGGAAGAACATGCCAATGTGATAGGAAACATACCACCTTACCAAAATTATAATGGCATGAATAATCTGGGCTGGAGGAACTATGCAAACCAACCATGGAACAACAACCAACAATCAATGCGGAACAACACACTCACAGGATTTCAACAAGCTTCACATCCACCACTACCCCCAGCTGAAAAGAAGTCAAACCTTGAGGAGTTGATGACCAAATTCATTCAAACTTCAGATCCTCGGTTTCAATCCACTGAGACAGCACTAAGAAATCAACAAGCCTCTATCCATAATCTAGAAATTCAGTTGGGTCAAATTTCTAGACTCCTCTCAGAAAGACCTCAAGGAAGCTTGTCTGGCCATACTGAGACTAATCCTAGGGAATAGGTCAATGCAGTAACATTAAGGACTGACAGAACATTACAAGAGAAGGAGAAGCAAGAAAGAGAAAAAGATGCAGTTGAAGAGGAGGATAAATGTCAAGAGGAGACTGTGGAAAAACCCCTTGTAGTGAATGAATTCATACCCCCACTTCCCTACCCAGCAAGATTGAAGAAAGACAAGGATGATGAATAATTTGGTAAATTTCTGTCATTATTTCGTCAACTTCATATTAATTTACCGTTTGTTGATACCTTGGCACAGATGTCCAAGTACACCAAATTTCTGAAGGATCTACTATCCAACAAGAAGAAATTGGAGGAGTTGGCCACAGTAACTCTGAATGAAGAATGCTCAGCAATTCTGCAAAACAAGATGCTCAAAAAATTGAAGGATCCAGGAAGTTTTACTCTTTCTTGTCTCATTGGTAGATTGATAGTTGATAGGGCTTTAGCTGATTTAGGTGTTAGCATTAATTTGATGTCATATTCTGTTTTTAAGAAATTGGGTTTAGGGGAACCTAGGTCAACTAGGATGAGTATTCAACTAGCTGATAGGTCAATTAAATATCCTAGGGGTATCATTGAGGATGTGCTTGTAAAAGTGAACAAATTTATTTTTCCTGTTGATTTTGTGATTCTTGATATGGACGAGGACACTGATGTCCCCTTGATCTTAGGTCGTCCATTTTTAGCTACTGCAAGGGCTATAATTGATGTGAGGGATGGAAAGTTAATTTTGAGGGTTGGAGATGAAAGAGTCACTTTCAAAATTCCTGATGTAATAAAAAAGTCTTGAAACAAGATGATTCTTGCTACTTTATTAATGTAATTGAAGATTATGTTTCTGATTGTGCACAGGAATTCTTGATTTCAAACTCATTGAAAAGAAGCTTAGTTCATAATAGAGGAAAAGATGATATGAGCTTGGTAACTCAAGAACAGTGGTGTCATTTAGAAGCCACTAAGCCATTATGGAGAAAGAGAGACTTCTAAGTTTTGGAGTGGAAATCAGAGAAGCAACCTAACCCATCCATTAATGAACCACCAGATGAAAAATTGAAGGTCTACCATCATAAAAAAATCAAGGAAGGTAAACTATTTCAAAAAGGTGATTTAGTAATACTGTTGTATAACTCTCGCTTCAAATTATTCCCAGGTAAACTCAAATCCCGTTGGTCTGGACCGTTTACTGTGCATAAGGTATTTCCTTGTGGTATAATTGAATTAACACATCCAGAAAAAGGAAATTTTAACGTGAATGAACATAGGCTGAAACTGTACCAGGGGGGTCAACTGCAAACTTTTGCAAATGAGGAGTTTAAACTCCTCCATGTTGAATGTTGAATTACATTGAATAGTTTAGGTTAGGTAGGTTTAGTTTATTTTAATTTAGTTATTTATTTGCTCATTTATTTATATTTTTGAATAAGCGTCCTTTCCCCAGCATGAACCCCATCTCCTTCTGACCACTTTCTTAGTATAGATGATGAAGACTCAGATGATGCGCAGTTTAGTCTGCAATTAGGAGTCTTAGTTGTTGAATTTTTTTACTTATGTTATTTTTAGGATTTAAATTGCTTTTGTCTGTTTATTGCTTCTATTTCTTTATCGCATTATTTTGATCGTTCTACTCCTCTTGTCATTATGAACTGAGTTAAATCTCCTTATAAATCAATTTTAATCAGGTTTCCTCTCCAATTGAATTCCAGATTAGCTTTGCTTCCCGCGACTCTTTGCTTATTTATTTACTTTTCAGGGAAGTTTTAGTTGCACTTTAATTCTTATATTTGATTGAGGACAATGCAAATCTTATAATGTGGGGTGGATAATTATAGATGTTTGAACTGAATTGTTGTTTTATTCTCGAGCAATATTGAGTCAATTTTACTGTTGCATTAGAGATGATATTCCTGAAAATATAATAAATAAATAAACATCACACACAGTTATTTTGGTTATTCGAATTGTGTTTTTAATTGTTTCTCGATTGAAGTATCATTAGACTTTTCTGAATTGAGGACCTTGAATCTATGCCAAATTGTTTAAAAGTGTTTGAAATTAATAAAACCAGGAAAATCTGAAAAAAAAAATTGGGGGCTCTGCTCAAAAATGAAAAAAAGGAGCATGCCATAGAAGCATATCTAGTTGAATGTGGATTGCAGGCAATGTCCGGATACCACATCCTAGAACCCCGAAATTGTTTGAGGTACCGATGTGGAAAGCAAGGGGTGGAATTTCCATTAATACCTTGTGCTAACTGGGATGGAGCATAAAATGCACCCTGTTAGTCGATCATGGCTCAAAGTGAAGAGAATTAAACAACACCTTGTGGAAGGATTCAAAGTTTTGAAGTGAATTTTAAGAGCCAATGGTAGAGAGGTCCTCATTCAGTTTTGTCTGAAGTTACAAAGGTTGAGAGCAAAAGAAGGCATAATTTGATGTTTAAGAATTACTGTCTCTCTAAAAAATTTGAAAAATAAAATAAAAATAACAAGAATAAAAAAAAATTTCAGGAATTTGATTCTTTGTTGTCAAATGTAAAATTGATCCATTTCTTTGCTTGGGGACAAGCAATCGTTCAAGTTCGGGAAAATTTGATAAATGCTTTCTATACTTGATCCTACATTGTAATTCATGAATGATAATTGAGAGTTTTAAGCTATTCATTGATAAAATTTACTATTATTAATTTTATTTTATTTATATTTCAGGAAAAAGAATCAAGAAGTGAAAGCTTCAAAAGATATTTGGAATTAAAACACATAATGAAGCCAGAGATATACACGGGCAAGTACATGCCCATGTATATGAGCGTGTATCTCACTGGTCGCGTCAATTGAAGTGTATCATCAAAACCAGAGATGTACACGGCCAAAGTACATGACCGTGTACATGGGCGTGTACTTTTCAAGAAAGCTGTGAAGTGTAATTATTAGAGACCAGAGATGTACACGGCCAAAGTACATGGCCGTGTACATGAGCGTGTACTTTTATGGAAAGCTTTAAATGGCGTCTTTTAGAAACCAGAGATTTACACGGCTAAAGTACATGGCCGTGTACTTTTAACGTGCGTCTTAATTTAAATTTCTGCGAGAAGATGAGCCCTTGGGCCACTCATATAAAAGGAAACTTGGCACAGAAACCTAAGAGAAACGGTTTTGAAGGGAAGAAAGACTCAGAGACGGCTGGAGGATGGGATTAAGCACTTTATTTCATCTCTTTTGTAATTTTAGTTTGAAGATGTTTAGGTTCTAATTTTCCTTTGAGTATCTAGACGTAATGAATCCTAATTGACTAAATTTTCTGGAATTCTTCTAATGCTATTTCATGTTCTTTTCTCTTAGGTTTAATTGAGTAGTATCAATTTTCTTCTATCTTGTTTTCTTGTTTGAATTTGAGTAAAATTCCTGCATGAAATTAACATTGCTCAATTAAAAAGACTTGAATGTATTTCTAGAGATAGAAAGACGTGAGTTTTCTGTATTAGGATTAACCCTAATTATGGAATTCGTAATGAACTTAATGCAACCTATGGGTATTAATTAAGGAAGAGATTCCGATTGATCAACTGAGGGTTAGGAATCATTATCCTTGAGAAAGGTATTGATTTAATTTAGAATTTCCTGCAGCGATAATGGTTTGAAACTAAGTAGTTGAAGAAGAATTTCAGTTATTTGGACACTTAGGAGGATTTACAGTCTATATACTTGCCTATTTCCCTTGAATACCTTTAGCCATAATTTTCTATAATTTATTTTCATAAGAATATCTGTTCCTTTTAATTTATTATTCTCTTACTTTTAGCAATTTCATCAACAAAATTTATTTTTCATATTTATTAACAATTATGCAATTAAGGAAGAAATTCTTAATAACAGTCTCTGTGAATACGATACTTAGTACTCTATTCTTCATAATATTACTCTGACAATGGGTACATTTGTCCAGTAATTCAATTTTTACACACCAAGTATAGGAAAAATATTAAGCAGGTAATCATCCATATCATTAGAAGACCCGTGTTAAGAAATTTTTGGGCGTAGGCAAAATGTACAACTAAAGTCTAATTTGATATTTATAAAAATTTAGCAACTTAAATTTAAAATAAGTAAAGTTAATTAAAGGTATTAAAAAAATTTAGGGCTTTAAATGGCTTCGGGTCTTAGCAATTGTTTCTGTAACACTACACGACCTAATCATTTATAGAATTGCATCACATATAAAAAATTAAAATCCACACCCACATATGGTTTTTTTTTTTTTAATCTCATTCATGCAAAAAATAAAAAATAAAAAATCTCTACCCAGAATTAAGCGGCGGAGTTATGAGTTTCGCCCTCTAAGATTCATATATAACAAGATTCATATATAACTATTTCTCAATTTATAATTTGTCCATCTCCTAAAAAAAACTTTTCCTTTTTGACCCCTTGTCTTCTTTAAAACCAAACAACTACTACTAGGATTAAATTAAACTCGTCTTGTAACGATGGTAGTTAAATTGTTGAGCCATTCTTAACTTTAACTTTGACTTTTCTCGTACAAAAATACATTGTGACAATATGTGATAATTTTGGCCACCTATGTCCCTAAGATACAAGTGCCAAGATCCAAGTCTTCTCCTCAACTAGTTTTATCTCTCTTTTTTTCTTTTATCTTTTCTTCCTTTTTACCTTTGTGAAATTAATGATTCTGACAGTAAGAAAGCTACTAATTGGTGATAAAAAAGTATTACAAGTGATATAGCAATGAAGTTAATAAAAATTGGTATACTACATAATCACTTTACCTTAAAATAGTTGGACGACTGAACATATAGTCTGAATCAAGGTAAGCAAAAGTAGCACAATTGCAGCAATGGTAGATGCTATTTTCCAAGGAGTGTTGAAGTACTCATGTACAAAAATAGCCTTGTATTTGTTGAGAGGATTTTCATAGAAATTATTTAAGTCATTGCAGAGAGAGAAATACTTGGAATTGAAACATGGCATGAAAACATTTGAGCCTAGACTGTTAACCATTGTAGCTACTGCATTAGCGTCACCCATCCAATTCATAATAATTTTCTTATCAACTAGTATGTCCACATCTTTTCCAGTATTGATAAGAAAATCTAGAATCTTTATGTACTGAATAATGATGGGTGAATGTAGAACGTGACAATGCTCAAATGCCAGTATGTTCCTAAAGTATATTTCTGTGTCATCGTGTACACCAAAGGTTGGCATTGTCAATACACCCTCATAATAGTTTAAGTCAACTAAGCAATTGCTTGGGCTAGCCTCGAGCTTAATACCTGCCTCTAATAGTTGGCTTGCACTGTAAAGATGTTTAATTACAGCTGATTTTCTTGGTGCCCCAAGATCAAATGATGATGGTATTAAAAAAGTTCTTAGAAGATCAGTGAAGTGTTTCGGACTCACTCTTGGACACACTCTTCCAGGATTTATGTTTTGTCGGTTGAATTCACTAAAATAGTAGAAACTAATCTCAAGAAAAGAGGGAAATTCATTTTGCATACCAGCAAGGTTGTAAATGTCTTCAAGAACAAAGAAAGGAAGTTGATTTTCTAGTAATATCAAGTCATGCTCAATATCAATTAGCAGCCAATGTTTTTGCAACAAAGGGTCCTTCTCCTTCCAACCATTTTCTTGATAAAATCTAAGAAAATGCTCAATTATGAAGCAAGCATCAATTAGAATCATTTGTAAGAAATCATCGCTATTAAAGTCAATAGGTCCTGCATAGCAGCTTTGAATTTTGTGTTCCAACTCCTTAAGTTTGACAATAAAATTATTCAAATGTAACTTGGTTCGAATTAGAAATCCTTTGAGATATTTCAATTTAAGCTCTTCCATTGGCTTCAAAATTTTGTCTTCTCTACCAAAGTCACGTTTTTTGTGAAAAGGACCAATGGAAACAATTCGAGGTGTGTAGGCTTTTGGATTACTTACACGCAATGTTTGAGGTACTTTATAAATACATTGTTCATTGAGTCCAGAGTCTTCTGGAAGAACCAGTCCTTCAAGCATCTTACTCAATTTTGTCACCAAATTTTGTTCACTCAGTGAATCACTTCGTTGTCCTCCCATTTCGTTAAATTTTTTCAAGCTTGGTGACTGATAGTAATAGATAACCAATATGATATAGTTAGATCCAATGAAATATTTGCAAATTTCATCTAAATTTCCCACCTTATAGAATAATGAAGCAAATATGACATTAATATAATATGATATATGTTCGATGTAATAAATTTTAAAAATTATAAGGTGTGCCGCATTAGGATATAAAACACATAAAATTAATGTAAAACTAGCATAGAAAAGTAAAATACACTGTATTTTCTTATGTATGCTTTAGGCTACAATCACTTCAGGGAAACGCATGATAATTAAAAAGAAACTGGACGAACATAGAAATGAAAAAAAAAAAAAAAAACAGTTCTCAACATTTTGCCAAGAATAAATTTTACTTTTTACCTCATTTTTATGATACGGTATCCAACCTATCATGAGTTTGAATTTCGTCGATTTTTATATGAATAGAAATTAAGTTTTTTATACTATATATTAAATAATATTTACTTTTATATTATAATTTATTTGCAACAACTTATCAACTTAAAATTATAAAATTTAATGAAATATGTTGTTTCTTTTTTTTTTTTTTTTTTTTTTTGTCTTTGGAATAGTGTTTGGTTATGGTTAGAGGCAACGCTTTGGACCAGGGTCTTTTATAAAAGTCAAGAGCAGCAGAGAAATTCGAATGCAATAACTAATAGGGACTACTGTAGTGTGGTGCGGGTTAAGTGAACTTGATAAAATTCCAATGCCTGATACAGCAGAGAAGTTCAGAACATGAATTCAAAAATAGTAGAATCAATCTTGCTAAGCCCACAAGAAAAACAGTAAAGAACACAATATATAGCAGCATGAAAATACACGTTAAAAGTAGTCTAAAAGGTGATGTGAAAACTTACTTGATTAGAACTTGAAAGCACACGGCAATAACCTCTTTCAAAGACTCTTCTCAATCTGAACTTTCTGGTTCCTTCTTGCCATTTCTCTGCATGCTCTCTCTGTTCTCTTGTCCCTGTTTGCTCCTCTTTTATATGTGCCTTAATTTTTATTTTATTTTATTCTTGCTGTTTATGCTTGCTTCTTATACCCTCCATTCTTTACGTGTTCTCCACTTCTCTTAAATTGTGATGCCTTTTATTTTATCTAAATCAAATTCTCTAACCAGTAATTTTTATTCGCAATCAAATTTTCCGTCACTAGCGAAAACACATGTTAAATATTTTTATCAATCCATTTTAGACATTCAGTAATGTGTCGTGAGTGTCGTAAAAAAATCATTTTAGTTGTGTAATTTAAGGGGAGATTTAGTATTTTCCATAGTGTTGTCAGAATATAATGGACTTTTGTAATGTATATTCCGATTTAAGTGAAGTGTAGATTTATAAATATTAAGGGCTTAAATTAAAAAGTAGTCTCTACATTTATTTATATTTTATTTTAGTTTTTGTAAACTATTTTTTATGGTTTTAATCCTAAAATTGTTAAAATAACTAAATTTGGTTCTTCCCTCTAACAGATATTACACAAAACAAATGAAATGTAGGCTTAAATATTAAAGTGATTCTTACATTTATTTGATTTTTATTTTTAGTCCTACATCTAAGGAGTGCTGGATCCTTATCCGCATTTTTGTTTAAGTCCTTACATTTATTTGCATTTTTGTTTTTAGTTCTTATTAACATTTTTTTAGTTCTTTTTCACCTTTTTCTACAACTTCTTTTTGTTGAAATAATGTGTTCTAGTTCACCACCTCTTAGTTTAGTGAACTAAAGAGAAAATGATAAACGTATTGGGGATGTTCATTTTACAAGTTGCATGCAAGAAAAAATTAAAGACCAATTACACTCTTATTAATTATCATTATATAGATTAAATATGATGAAACTAATCTAAATAAATTGAATCTTTATTTATGTGATAGTTTTGACTCTGCGTAAGAAAAAGGAACAATAAGAGAAGAAATTGAATACCGTTGTTTGTCATAACATATAGCATAGCTTATATGATGATTCATTAGAACGTGGATAAATGTGAAAGATAAAATGGGAGAAAAAGTTATACAATTTGTCTCCGCTTCGTCTAAATCATCAATATCTTTTCTTATTTTCAATTTTTTAGAAGCATACTTTAAAAATATATTCCAATATATATACAAAACACCTAAAGGTATCTCCTCCTAAAGGATATCATTTTGTCATATATAGATAAGAAATGAGAATTTTCATATTTATACGTAGAGAACTTTCTAAATGTGTCACTTAAAAATTGATGGAAGATATATACGTAGTTTACCACGATTGGTATTCCAAAAGTACTTTTATATACATATAAGCAAAGAGTATAATAGATCTTACTACTAGTAGGAAAATAAAAAAGAATATCGTATTTTGTTATGATTTCTATAGTAAAAATTTCACTGAATTTACTTTCACTATCTATAACAAATTTATAATAACAAACTCTCTCTCATTCTTAAATATATTATTTAATCTACTTTCAAAATTCCACTCAATCAGCTTAATTGGTCTTTGAGGGGTGGTCATTTTTATTTCCTAAAAATGTAAGTAAAGATGAATCACTAAAAGAGTTAAAATAATCAATTTATAAATTTTATAACAAACAAAACACAATAATAAATATATCAGCAATATCATCACGCATACACTAAAATCACACAATGCAATATATCCTTCTTTCACGTACAATTCTTTGCCCAATGTGATTGTATTCTTTCAATACTTTATAATATTTCTTGAGCCCTTAACACAATTAATCATGACTCTTGGATCCTGGAGGTCTTACATATGTATGGATAGTCGATGGTTAGCCGTTGTAACACAGATACAACATATGCAATGCTCAATCCTTTAGCATAAGTATAGTCAGAAGTTTGGTAAAAAAATGAGTGTGAGGCCATGTGATGTTTTCACTTTCATTAATTTATGCACAACCATGTCTAAAAGCATTCATAACTTGCATTTTCTCCAAATTTTTAGAAGTCCCCATTTCCTATACTCTCAATATATCTCTGTAACTATTCGCACTAATTTTTTTATCATTTATTCCTCATCATTTGACTCATCATAGTGGAATCTCACCACTCTCATCATACATTAAACAAGTTATGCCGCATGTCAGATACCTAGCTTTGGACTCAACTCAAAATGCATATTTTAATAAATCATATTTCAGTCATTTAATATATAATAAAACATGTATTATATAGTTCATCAACTTAAAGAATCTATTTTAAAAAATAGAATTTCTAAATTAAATAGCATGTAAACACTTACAAAAGCAAAAAGTATATATGAAAATTGATGAATCCATTTTTTTACTAATATTTTAGCATAGTTCTAACCCATTTGATAAGGAAAATATATGAGAAAAGCAAAAAAACTCAGAAAAATAGAATGATTGAAAGTTTTATCTCAATTTATAGTTATTTTAGCATTGGTGAGATTTTTTGCTTAGAAATTAAGAATTTAATCTTATTTTGTAAGAATAATCTGAGCAAGGTTCATAGAAATGGAAGATCAATGAAAAGGAAGAAGAAGAGTAGTAATTTTGGACTCAAGACATAAGAATTCTGGAATGCAAGCTGGGCGTGGTCACTCTTACCAACGAAAGTGAGTGTTCCAGAGAGTTCCTCAGAAGAACATGTTGTGCATTAACACTCTTGTTGGCGAAAGTGAGTGCTTCAGAGAGTTTCTCAGAAATCTCAGACTTAGCGAGCTCTGCATTACCACTCTTACCAGCGAAAGTGAGTGTTCCAGAGAAGGCAAAAATTCAGCAAGCTCTGGGTTACCACTTTTACTAGTGAAAGTGGATGTTCCAGAGAGGAGTGTATCAAGGCAAGTTGTGCATGGTCACTCTTGCTCTCGAAAGTGACCACGCGCAACCACTCGACCTCCTGCGTTGCAACTCTTAGCAGGGAAAGTGATAATTTTAGTTTCTAGAAACCAGATGAGCCTCTGCGTGGCCACTCTTATCAGCAAGAGTGATATAATGCACAGAATCGAGATTTCTATAAATACCCGTTTAAAGCTAAGAACTCGAGGTCTTTTGCTCATTTTCTATTTTTCACTTCATTTCTTTGTTGAGAGAGAGTCAGAGAGAGGATTGGGGATGAACATTAAGCTCCAAGAAGAGGGATCGGATTGGGTATTGTTGAAGATGGATCTTCTGCGTTCTTCTCCTTCTTCTTCTTCTTCTTTCTCTTTCTCTGTTACAATGTTTGCTTAATTCTTCGTTGTTAGGAGTTTATGGACCTTGAATTGATATATTAATTCAATTTTTTCTTCTGAACTTTGAGTTCTTGGATTAATTGAGTTGTTAATTCTGCTTTCTATGTGATCTTTGAATGGAAATTCAATTGATTAATAACAAAGGAACTTTTACCAATGGAAATTGGAATTGATTCTCAGATCTGAATTAACTACCAGAATTGGGGATTTCTTAGGGATAAGTGAGCCCGAGTGTCACGCTCGGACAAATTATTAAAAATCGAATTACATAAACATTATGTAGTATGAGGTGCAATCCGAGTCGTCTTCCAATGATGATAATGTTATACGATTATAAATTTAGATGGGGTTTGATTTATAAAATAATGCTGATTAGAATAAAAAGTTAACAAAAATTTAAAAACTCTAATCCAAGAATTTAGAAGAACTACGACCACTCTATCACCGGATTCCAAGAAGATGCATCAACCAATAAATTAGTGATTAACATTAAATTCGAATGAAACCTCAATTCAAATTAAGCATTCACACAAGAACCCTCATGCATTCGATTAACACACAATTCGCTCAAAGTTCAGAAACCTCTAGAACCTAATCGATTTGTGTTAATTTAATTCACCAATACCATTAATCTTAGATCTCAAACCTGAAAATCTAATTCACACTCCCTCAAGAATTAATTACATACATCAACCGAATAATATATAATCAAACAACTGCACAATTATCAATCCAAACGAAGAACTTCAATTCGAAATCATA